CCCGTTTTCAGCAATAAGGATCACGTTGTGTGTGGAGGCGGATCTGCAACTGGAGCTGATTTACGAAGGAGCGGATTATTCAAGGCCGGAGCAACCAAGGAGCCAAGCTACCAACCCAAGCAAGCAGCTCAACGTAGTGGTAAGTTTACTGTTTAACCCTGTTAACGTTTTCTTCTTAATTTGGCTGCAAATGGTGTCCTTTTTTTTAGATTTTGATTCTGAAGAGATACTGACTTAATTTGTATTTTTCTTCTTCAACAGGACAAGCCAATGAAGATGCAAATGGCGAAGAAGGAGCAGCCTACGAAGCCATTGGATCTAAGCAACAAAGAAAGCAGTTAAGTGATGCTACCAAGGAAGCAGCTAAACGTGTGGTAAGTTTAACCGCTTAGCCATTTTAACCGGTTTATGTTTAATCAGCTGCAAAATGGTGTCTTCCCTTGAGTATTTGAGTCAGAAGAGTATGTACTAATTCTTGTTTGTGTTTTTCTTAAAACAGGAGCCTACGAGCAGCCAACCAAGGAGCCTTCGAGCAGCCAACCAAGGAGCCTTCGAGCAGCCAACCAAGGAGCCTTCGAGCAGCCAACCAAGGAGCCTTCGAGCAGCCAACCAAGGAGCCTTCGAGCAGCCAACCAAGGAGCCTTCGAGCAGCCAACCAAGGAGCGAGCGGTCTACTAATTCTCCTACCAATTCTCCTGGCGGATCCGCCTTCAAGTCTCCTACGAAGCACATGATGGATGTGCGCTGGGCTGCAACGAGTGGCGGAAGCGCAGGCTGGGCTGCGACGAGCGGCGGAAGAGGTTGCTTGGCAGCGGAAGTGGTTGTTGGGCTGTGTAAGCGGTTGCTGGTCTGCGGAAGCGAAGGCGAGGCCATGGAAGCTGTCAAGTAAGTTTCACAGTCATTTCCTTTGTTCATCCTTTCGTAATCTGGCTGCAAAATGATGTATTTTCTTCAAGATTTTGATTCAGAAGATTATGTACTAATTTTTGTTTGTGTTTTTTCTTAAAACAGGAACGAGGAGCCTACGAGCAGCCAACCAAGGAGCCTACGAAGTGGCGGAAGCGGTGGCTTGGCGGCGGAAGCGGCTGTGCAAGCGGTTGCTGGCGCTTGCACAGGTGGGGTGCGGATGCGGTTGCTGCGCTTCGGAAGCGGTTGCTGGGCGGCGGAAGCAGAAGCTGGGCGGCGAAAGCGGTTGTTGGGCTGCGGAAGCGCCGATTATGGAAGCAGCGGAATGCACCGTTGAAGAATCTGGTAAGCTGTTCACCGTCTCACTCCTTCTGCTTACCATTGCAATTGGTGTCTGAGCATTTCTTAAGATTCGCATTCTGAGGATCTGGTAACATAAATACTCATGTGTGTCCGTCGTTCTCTCTTAACAGGACCAATCAACGACGACGGAAATGGCGAAGGACAAGTCTACGAATCGGCCGAGCACCTTACAGAGCGGCGGCGCAGCCTTCAAAGAAGCAAACTTGAACAGACTTGAAGCAGAGGACGAAGACTACGGTTGCTGGTCGGCGGAAGCGGTTGCTACGCGGCGGAAGCGGTTGCTGGGCGGCGGAAGCAGAGGCTGCGGAAACGGCAACCAAGGAAGCAACAGAACTCTCCGTTGAAGCATCTGGTAAGATGTTCACCGTCTCACTCCTTCCACCGTTTACCGTTGCAATTGGTGTCTGTCAATTTTCCTTGACATCCGCATTCTGAGATTCTGCTAACATAAATACTAATATGTGTTTGTCGTTTTCTCTTAACAGGACCAGCCAACGACGACGGAAATGGCTGAGCGGACTACGAAGCGGCGGAGAAGCCTACTTAGCGGCGGAGCGGACTACTTAGCTGCAGAGCAGCCTACGCAGCGGCGGAACGGACTCCTTAGCTGTGCCGCGGACTACTCAGCGGCGGAGCAGACTACGAATCGGCGAAGAAGCCTACTTAGTGGCGGAGCGGACTGCAAAGCTGCGGAGCGGACTGCAAAGCTGCGGAGCGGACTACTTAGCTGCAGAGCGGCCTACGAAGCGGCGGAGTGGACTCCTTAGCGGCGGAGCGGACTCCTTAGCGGCGGAGCAGCCTACAGGGGAGCGGCGTAGCAGTATACAAGGGAGCGGCGTAGACGGAGGCTGGGCTGCAAGGAGTAGACGGAGGAGGAGCGGCGGACTTGAAGGGAGCGGCGGACTTGAAGGGAGCAGCGGACTTCAAGGGAGCAGAGGAGCAGCTGGTAAGCTTCTTCCTGCTTGAGCTGCTTGCTTGTCAGTTCGTTTTTTTTTTAAGATTCCTGAAATGTTTGTACTAAATTGTGTTTTTCTGCCGTTTTTCCTTAAACAGGACATCCAAGTGGCGACGAAATGGCGGATGACGGAGCCTACTGAGGACAGCACCACGCGGCCTTCTACCAACCTATTAATCAGCCTACTACAAGCCTACGAAGCAGCGGCGGGCTTCAAGGGAGCGGCTGACAGCCTACAAAGGAGCAGCTGGTAAGCTTTCATTGGTCGCTCTATGCTTGACCTGCTTGCCTGTCGGTTGGTTTTTTTAAGATTCACGAGTTCTGAAGTTTGTATACTAATGTGTGTCTTCTGTTTTCTTGAACAGGCGAAGCGGCCTACGACGCAGTCTGCAAAGCGACCTTCGACTCAGCAGCCTTCGACTCAGCAGCCTACGACTCAGCAGCCTGCGACTCAGCAGCCTTCGACTCAGCAGCCTGCGACTCAGCAGCCTTCGACTCAGCAGCCTGCGACTCAGCAGCCTTCGACTCAGCAGCCTGCGACTCAGCAGCCTGCGACTCAGCAGCCTGCGACTCAGCAGCCTGCGACTCAGCAGCCTGCGACTCAGCAGCCTGCGACTCAGCAGCATGCGACTCAGAGCAGCCCGAGGAGCAGATTACGAAGCAGAGGCTGCTCATGGTGGAGAAGAGAAGAACCCGTAAACCCAGGAGGGTTGAACCAACCTGCTGCAGAGAAGGGGAGAAGCTACCTGGTGGAGAGGAAAGGAGAGGAGTTGAACCCCTGAACCCTGAAGGGTTTATTCAGCCTGGTGCAGACAAGGGGAGAGGCGGCTGTGGAGAGGAGGGGAAAGGAGATGAACCCCTGAACCCTGAAGGGCTGATTCAGCTTGGTGCAGACAAGGGGAGAAGCGGCCTAGTGGAGAGGAGGGGAGATGAACCCCTGAACCCTGCGGAGGTGGAGTATGGGTTGCGGAAGCGGAGTATGGGCTGCGGAAGCGGAGTATGGGCTGCGGAAGCGGAGTATGGGCTGCGGAAGCGGAGTATGGGCTGCGGAAGTGGAGTATGGGCTGCGGAAGCGGAGTATGGGCTGCGGAAGCGGAGTATGGGCTGCGGAAGCGGAGTATGGGCTGCGGAAGCAGAGTATGGGCTGCGGAAGCGGAGTATTGGCAGCGTAGCAGTCTACAGGGTAGCAGCGAAGCAGTCTACAGGGTAGCAGCGAAGCAGTCTACAGGGGAGCAGCGAAGCAGTCTACAGGGTAGCAGCGAAGCAGTCTACAGGGGAGCAGCGAAGCAGTCTACAGGGTAGCAGCGAAGCAGTCTACAGGGTAGCAGCGAAGCAGTTTACAGGGTAGCAGCGAAGCAGTCTACAGGGTAGCAGCGAAGCAGTCTACAGGGTAGCAGCGAAGCAGTCTACAGGGTAGCCGCGAAGCAGCCTACAGGGTAGCAGCGAAGTAGTATGCAAGGGAGCGGCGTAGTCGGAGGGTGGGCTACAAGGAGTAGACGGAGGAGGAGGCTGCGAAGCGGTTGCTGCGGAAGCGGAGTATGGGCTGCGGAAGCGGAGTATGGGCTGCGGAAGCGGAGTATGGGCTGCGGAAGCGGAGTATGGGCTGCGGAAGCGGAGTATGGGCTGCGGAAGCGGAGTATGGGCTGCGGAAGCGGAGTATGGGCTGCGGAAGCGGAGTATGGGCTGCGGAAGCGGAGTATGGGCTGCGGAAGCGGAGTATTGGCAGCGTAGCAGTCTACAGGGTAGCAGCGAAGCAGTCTACAGGGTAGCAGCGAAGCAGTCTACAGGGGAGCAGCGAAGCAGTCTACAGGGTAGCAGCAAAGCAGTCTACAGGGTAGCAGCGAAGCAGTCTACAGGGTAGCAGCGAAGCAGTCTACAGGGTAGCAGCGAAGCAGTCTACAGGGTAGCAGCGAAGCAGTCTACAGGGTAGCCGCGAAGCAGCCTACAGGGTAGCAGCGAAGCAGTATGCAAGGGAGCGGCGTAGTCGGAGGGTGGGCTGCAAGGAGTAGACGGAGGAGGAGGCTGCGAAGCGGTTGCTGCGGAAGCGGAGGCTGGTTGGGAGGGATGTGGCGAAGCAGTGGTGGATGCGGCGAAGGGTTACGCAGATGGTGGCTGGATGGAAACTCAAGGGTGGCCTAAGAGGTGGCTGAGCTAGTTGGGGCTCAGCCGGTCCTAAGGCGAGTGGCGCGGTGCGAGTGTGATTTCAGCGGTGATGTGATGGAGTAAGGGCCGGTGCTTGATTCGGGCAGTGCAAAGTCGCCCGGGAGGCTTTGCACTGCCTGGGCCCAGAATCAAGCTACCCGGGTACCTGACGCTCCAGGTAGCATCACCGTTGGGGTTGCACTTGCACCACAAGTCAGCACCGCACCGGGGTGGGTGCGGGGGGCTTGAGTCACTCTAAAGAGAAGGGAGACCGCACTGGCGTGGGTGCGGAGATCTTCTCTTACCTCTGAATGATGAGTCCACACTGGCGTGGGTGTGGAAATACTCATTCTAGGTCACCTGAGGGTTTCTGTTTGGGAGGCTTGCGGTTTTACTTAAAGCTTCACGGCCTTCTCACACTGGCGTGGGTGTTGGGGGTTCGTTCACTTGATGTGTCAGCCTGGAGCCACAGGGAGAGGAATGGAGCAGTGGAGGAGAGCCGCCGCCTATGCAGCAGCCGTTTGATGCAGTTGAGGGGAGCAGCCGCTTGGAGCAGTTGAGGGGAGTAGCCGCCTGGAGGAGTTGAGGGGAGCAGCCGCTTGGAGGAGTTAAGGGGAGTAGCCGCTTGGAGGAGTTAAGGGGAGCAGCCGCCCATTGCAGAGGAGAAGAGGAGTAGCATCCATCCTGGTGCAGAGGAGAGAGGTGCCCCCAAACCCTGAAGGGAAGAAGCAGCCGCCTTGGTGCAGAGAAGGGGAAAAGCATCCATCCTGGTGCAGAGGAGAGAGGTGCCCCCAAACCCTGAAGGGAAGAAGCAGCCGCCTTGGTGCAGAGAAGGGGAAAAGCATCCATCCTGGTGCAGAGGAGAGAGGTGCCCCCAAACCCTGAAGGGAAGAAGCAGCCGCCTTGGTGCAGAGAAGGGGAAAAGCATCCATCCTGGTGCAGAGGAGAGAGGTGCCCCCAAACCCTGAAGGGAAGAAGCAGCCGCCTTGGTGCAGAGAAGGGGAAAAGCATCCATCCTGGTGCAGAGGAGAGAGGTGCCCCCAAACCCTGAAGGGAAGAAGCAGCCGCCTTGGTGCAGAGAAGGGGAAAAGCATCCATCCTGGTGCAGAGGAGAGAGGTGCCCCCAAACCCTGAAGGGAAGAAGCAGCCGCCTTGGTGCAGAGAAGGGGAAAAGCATCCATCCTGGTGCAGAGGAGAGAGGTGCCCCCAAACCCTGAAGGGAAGAAGCAGCCGCCTTGGTGCAGAGAAGGGGAAAAGCATCCATCCTGGTGCAGAGGAGAGAGGTGCCCCCAAACCCTGAAGGGAAGAAGCAGCCGCCTTGGTGCAGAGAAGGGGAAAAGCATCCATCCTGGTGCAGAGGAGAGAGGTGCCCCCAAACCCTGAAGGGAAGAAGCAGCCGCCTTGGTGCAGAGAAGGGGAAAAGCATCCATCCTGGTGCAGAGGAGAGAGGTGCCCCCAAACCCTGAAGGGAAGAAGCAGCCGCCTTGGTGCAGAGAAGGGGAAAAGCATCCATCCTGGTGCAGAGGAGAGAGGTGCCCCCAAACCCTGAAGGGAAGAAGCAGCCGCCTTGGTGCAGAGAAGGGGAAAAGCATCCATCCTGGTGCAGAGGAGAGAGGTGCTGCAAAAGAGGAGAGAGGTGGTGCAGAGGAGAGAGGTCCATCCTCCTCAAAATTTTATCCCTGCCCACGATGAAGATGGGGGAAGGAGGGGCTGCAACATCACCATGGCAACCCCCTCCTTCCGACCTCGGGAGGCGCTGCTTCCGATTGGGGGGGGGGGCGGGTGGTGGGCTATGGGAAAGGCTCGAAATCACCTCTTAGCTCTAGCCTAACCCTAGCGCTCCAAGGAGGTGCCTGCCTGTCGAGCAGGGCCGGTGTGAAGCAGCCTGGTGCAGTTAAGGAGACAATGGGAGAAGCAGCCGCCTGGTGCAGAGAAGGGGAGAACTCCCAAACCCTGAAGGGGAGAAGCTGCTAAGGGGTGGAGTTGGGAAGCTGCCAATGGATTTGGGAAGCTGCCAATGGATTTGGGAAGCTGCCAAAGGATTTGGGAAGCTGCCAAAGGATTTGGGAAGCTGCCAAAGGATTTGGGAAGCTGCCAAGGGTTGAAGGAATTGGGAAGCTGCTAAGGGGTGGAGGAGTTGGGAAGCTGCAGCAACAGCGACGTGCATCAAGAGCGACCATGGAGTTTTTTAGCCGAGCGTACGGCACGCCCCTCGTCTTTTGAGGAAGTCAGCCCAAGGGGATGTGGCGGGATGGATTTTTTGATCCATGACTCGCGCACGCGCTGAACCAAAAAAAAAAAATCTTGGGAGATTGAGTGAGTGCAGTGGAGATGTAGCCGCTTGGTCTAGAGAAGGAGAAAGGAACCCCCAAACTTGAAGCAGCAGTGAAGGGGAAGCAGCAGTGAAGGGGAAGCAGCAGTTAGGGGAAGCAGCAGTGAAGGGGAAGCAGCAGTGAAGGGGAAGCAGCAGTGAAGGGGAAGCAGCATGAAGGGGAAGCAGCAGTTAAGGGGAAGTAGCAGTGAAGGAAAGCAGCAGTTAAGGGGAAGTAGCAGTGAAGGAAAGCAGCAGTGAAGGGGTGATGCAGTGATGCAGTGAACCAGTGATGCAGTGAAACGGAGCAGACATGTACCCAGTTACCAAGCTACCAATAGCAGTTACCAGCCATAGAATCTGAGCTTTCTATTCTCCTTGCACGTTGTACTAGGTTCATTAGTGCATTACTCACGCAGAGCCCTCTATCGTATGTTATGGAAACATTTAACTACTAACAATTTACCCTGGTTGGCTTCGTCTACTAACGCTGCATTTGTTTATATGGGGAATGAACTGGTAGCAGGGTGTGTGAGCTGAGCACACTACAATAGCAGGGTGTGTGAGCATAGCACGTTGGGAATCCTCACATTCCTTGGGACGGCAGTTCAAAGTGGCAAACGCTAGGTAGGGTAGCTTCTTCCAGCCTACAGAAAGGGGCTGGTTGGCAGGGTCCAATAACGCTGCATTTGTTTATATGGGGAATGTATGGTATTAGCAGGGTAGGGTACAAAAAGGTGCCACAATTCAGAGTGACACTGGTGCCGTACGAGCCAAAAGGACTGGCAAGCAATCTTCTCCAGACTGCTCTGCAACTGCACAGAACTCGCGTTGGTGACATGTAACCAGGTTCAAATGACATGTAACCAGTTACATGCAACTAGCTTTCCCGACACGTAGCAGCACGGTTCAGATGACATGCAGCTGTGCGAGGAAGAGCATGTGAGAGCCGTCCACGTGCTGCACGCCCAGAAGATACTTCTCATCCCGCACCTTGAACAGCTGTGCGGTGCAGTGCGGTAAGGGGAATGGATGGAGTTCAAGAGCAATCATTACGATACGACTCAGGTAGTGACTTCAGGAGCAATGAACCCCACACCCGGCAAGTTCTGAGAATTCTCAGTCTCACAACCTCCAGGACACATCCAGCAACAGAGCAGCGGGAGCCATTTGCGTTGCGGTATGCATGATAAAAAGGCATAGAAAGGCAACGAGGGGGAGGTGGAGTGCACAAGCAAGGGCGATGAGGGCCGTTGCTCAAGGTAAGTTCGATCGAAGAGCAGCAGTGAGAGAGACTGGGACACACACGCTCACCTGCATCTCAAACCGCAGCCGAACCCCGCCGCCCACCAGCGCCTCCACAGGAATCACCGGGCGGCCTCTCTCGTCCTGTATCGTCCTTACACACCATCCAACCGCCCCCCATCCACCAGCATCCCATCCGCATCCCCCTGCCCCACCATACCCACCCCCACGCCCATGCCCGTGCACCCAAGAGGCTGTGCTAGAGGCAGCACGAGAGGCGGAGGAGGAGGAGTTGGGGGGGAAGGGGAGGGGTCCGTCCCAGCGGCAGTTGACGACGTAGGGAGAGAGCTTCTTCCCCCGCACCTGCAGCGCTTGCAGTGCGCGGAATGCCTCCCCCCTCACTTCCATTGGGTGCGCGTGGGACTGGTGGGGAGGGAAGGGAGGAGCAAGGGAGGAGCAAGGGAGGAGCAAGGGAGGAGGAGGGAGATGGAAGTGGAAAGGATTGATGGGTGAGGTAGGAGGGGGGTGGGAGAGGGAGAGGGAAGGGCGGTCACCTGCAGCGTTATGCAGCTCCTCGTTTTCACACCCACACTCATTGATACACACTTACAGCAACCCTTTGATGACTCTGCGCGGCCGACCCCGGCACCCCCATCCCCAGCCCACCTACCTGGTCCACCCCCATCCCAGCCCACCTACCTGTTCCACTCCCACATTCACTCCCTCACCTGCAACCCCAGCGCCCATTTCCGATCTGCCACAACGTGCTGATGATATTGCGCGGTCGACCCCGGCACCCCCATCCCCAACCCCCCGCTCCCGCCACCCCCCCCACTCCCAACACTCCGCCTCGCCACCAGCGCATGCCCCAGCCCTCCCCTCGCGGCTACCAGCGGGGACCCATCGGCTGCAAGCGCGTGCGTGGCGTGCTGGTCGTGCTGCCCCTCCTTGTGCTCCTTGAACTGGGCGCCCAGATAGCCCATGGAGATGCGGCGGTGCGAGTCCAGCAGCCGGTACGAGGCCACTGTCGCCGTGTTCGTGCGGCGCTCCCGCAGGGACTCCGCCAGGTGCTCCTGGTCGAACCCCATCTTCGTCACCACCTGAAAGATCTCCTCGTCAATCTGACGGTGGTGGAGAAGGGAAGGATGGAATTATGAGAAGAGAGAATGAGGAGAGGAGCGATAATCGTCAGCACCACCTCGGTCACCAGCAAGAACACCTTCTCAATTTTCTAGTGTGATTGGGAGGGGAGGGGAAGGGGGGTGGGGAAGGGAGGATGCGAAGAGGTGCGACTCCGCAATGCAGTCCTCATCAAACCACAACTTCGCCACTATCTGAGCCCTATCAGGAATATCAGCAATATCTCCTCGTAAATCTGATTCCTGAAACCCTCAACTTCTCTGCATGCTCATCCATCCTGCCTCTCACCCGTTTGGCCTGCTCGGCAGCATTTGGCGGCGGCACGGCGAGGTAGCGGGGGAGCTTGGCGAGGAGCCAGGGGTGGTGGCGGATCTCGGGGATGGTGATGCGCTTCATGGGGTCGACCAGCAGCATGCGCGGTATCACAGGTGGTGGGGCAGGGCGTACATGCCACCCTGCATGCAATAAGAGAGGGTAGTTCACAGGGGGTTGTGAAATGGGGCCAGTTCACAGGGGGCTGTGAATTACGCTACACCGCCCGCTCATATGCTGCACCGCCCGCTCATACGCTGCACCGCCCGCTCATACGCTGCACCGCCCGCTCATACGCTGCACCGCCCGCTCATACGCTGCACTGCACGCTCATACACTGCACCGTATCCCACCATTACCCCACAGCACCGCAGCCCACCGCACCTTGATTTTCTTAAAGAGGTTGGGGATGTTTTCATCGTCGAATGGAAGGCTGCCACACAGCAGCGCGTACAAAAATCAACCGAACCATCACCCACCATCACCGCACAGCACCGAACCTTGATCTACTTAAAGAGGTTGGGGATGTTTTCATCGTCGAATGGAAGGCTGCCACACAGCAGCACGTACAGAATCACCCCGCAGCTCCACACGTCCACCTCGGGACCTCCGTACAGGGGAAAGGGGAGGGATGGGGAAAGGGGGAGGGATGCGTGTACAGGAGTCAGTCCGGCAAGTGATTGATACCAGCTCCACACGTCCACCTAACGGGCTACAGAGGTGAGTCGAGCATTTAGAGTTCCAAACCAGCTCCATGCGTCCACCTCGGGACCTCCGTACAGCCACCAACCCTGATATCAGCTGAGGGAAATCAGGGAAAGGCGGGCAAAGCGGGAGAATGATTTCCAAGTGATTGAAATCAGGCCCACACACACGTCCACCTCGGGACCTCCTTACAGCTGCCCAGGTATCATCTGAAAGGGGTTGGGCAGGCGGGATGGCAGAAGGCAGAGGGCAGAGGAGGAGAGGAGGGAAGATGAGTTCATGACAGAGCCAGTGATGAAAGATTCAGTGAGCGAAAGTCAACAAGCTTCAAACTGACAAGCTACCTGGGACTTAAAAGTTCCTCTACAGAGCAACAGCAGCTTAGGAACCCATGCATTTGCCCCATTCATACCTCCGGAGCAGCGTAATTGGCGCTGCCACAGGACGTCTTGAGGAACCGTCACGCATGACGTTGCTGAGCCCAAAGTCAGCAATGCTTACATCAACCGATTCACACTGAAAGCCCCCACACGTACCTCAGGAGCAGCGTAGTTGGGGCTACCGCAGGCCGTCGCGCATCACATTGCAGGCCGTCGCGCATCACATTGCTGAGCCCAAAGTAGGCGATCTTGGCGTCCAGCAGCAGGTTCTCGGGGCAGCGTGCCGTCCGCACAGCGCTCCCTCAGGGCGTCCTCGCTGCCACCTGGCTCCTGCTGATTGGCCTCCAGCATAGCGCGCATGTCTGCCACACTCAGGTGTGCGCGCAGCTTGTCCTTCACAGAGGGGGGAAGACACAGAGGGGGAGTGAGTCGTATTGTTGAGGTGCGTGAGATGTAGAGGCACTGCAGCACATTCACGCCCCGCACGTCGGCCGCAGTGGCAGGGGGGAGGGGGAGCGCAGTGGATAGGCGGCGATGGAATGGGGGGAGAAGCGGGCATTGGCTATGGAGTGAGCGGAAAAAGGTGGGGGCTGGGATGTGGCAGTGTTAGAGGGGTAAGCGCGGACGGCGCACAAAGAGGCGGCAAAGAGGGATGGGCGCAGGCGAGCAGGGGAGCTGGGGGGCAGCAGAGCAGGGGTGGCATGGGTGGCAGCGGTGGCAGCGGCGGCAGGGGAGCAGAGGGGCACTGACTTGGTGATGAGTCCCGGGGCTTTGAAGATGCAGCTCGCGTGGAACCACAGCTGCTCCGCGCACATGGTGGCGGGGCGGGGCGGGGGGAGTGGGGGTGGGGGATAGGCGGAACGGGAGGGGGATGGATGGAGGGAGCGGGCGAAATTCGCAGGGAGGGGGATGAGAGCAGCGTAGAAACTTGGGGAGAGGGAGCGGAATGAGGTGAAGAGAGGGGAGTGGAAATGGAGGGAGATGCAGTTGTACAGGGGATTGCGGAGGGCGCGCGCATGACTGCACTGCAATGCCTTCAACCTCAAGACCCTAAAACGCTATAGCCTGCGAAGCCATGCGACATGAACCCGTCATCGCCGTGCATTCGCCAAGCCATCACCTTCGTTACTTGCTCAGCCAGTACCAAGCCACTAGTACCGTCGTTATTTCCGCAAGGCATTACCCTCGTGTAATCCGTGTGAAGCCACTATGAGCGCATTACCGTCATGAAGCCGTCGAACTGTTTGGACTCGACGACTTTGGCGATGCGGAAGGCGTCCTTGGCGATGCTCTCTTTGCACTTCCGGCAGCTCGCGCGCGCCGACTTGGCGTACTCCGCCTTGAACGGCTTCGGCTTGGCGCGCTCTGCCTCGTCCGCCATGGCGATGGCGTGTCAAGTACGCAAAAGGATGATGGTCTGTGTGCTTTTGACTGAAATGGCGCGAAAAATATGGTAGGGTGGAAATTACAACTGAACAGTTGTTGGCGGCATTGGAGACCCAGAATTTGCCGTACGCAGTATTGACTGTCGCACTCTCTCCAAATAATTCGCCGAACCCAGAGTGTGCTGCCTGGAGTAGCTAGCGAAAGTGCTGCTGTCATAGCTTGCATTGCTCTGCATAAGATTCTATGTGCATTACATGTGAATATTTTAGTATGATATTGCCACTGGTTGATTGAGAATTTGCTTTGTATATGCACACAGATCTCTTACGAGAAAACAGTTTCTAACAAAGCCCGCAGATCTTTCGTTTGACTAGAAACCAGAGCATCATCCATTGCACCCCAATCAGCGCTAAGAATATTTTGAGCTTGTTCCAACACTGCCTCTCTATCAACATCCTCTGTTTCATCCCCGCCTTCTGTTCCCATTAGAAGCACCAAGTACAGTTGCTCTGCACAGTGCCTTCGAACCTGTTGCGAGTGCAAGGGTGGATGTGAAATGGAAGGGTCTTGATCTTTTACACATGTAACACAACCCATCGAACGGGTTTGCTGTGACACTGGACAGGTAAGGCGGAGCTACGCAGTGTCGCGCAATGGCGGTGCTAGGTGCTATGCCAATACGAGTAGTGGGTGCGATGCTGCCAGAGCAGGCACAATCGCAGTGGGGACTGGCAGGTACACTCACAGTGGGGACTATGAGGTGAACTCACAGTGGGGAAGCGCACGGCGAGCAGCCAGAGTAGCGTGGAGAGGGCATGCTGGCGGGCAGAGCAGAGGGGGGCGGCGAGGTGGCAGAGCAGGTCGACGGCCGCCAGCATCTTGGGCACCGATGCCGTGGGCTGTGGGCGGCACAGCTCCTCCTCCACACTCCCCACCAACACCCCAGGTAGAGCCGCGAGGGAGGTGGTGGGAGTGGCAGGCTGCAAGGGGGGTGGGAGAGGGCAGGGCGTGGGAGGGCAGGGAACGCCATGCAGAACGGTAGAGTGGAGACGGCTGGCATGCAGAAAGGGATTGCTGGAGTGTGGATGTGAAGCAAGGGATGTGAAGCAAGGGATGTGAAGCAAGGGATGTGAAGCAAGGGATGTGAAGCAAGGGATGTGAAGCAAGGGATGTGATGGATGGAGAGCGGAGGGAGCAGGTGTTGATGCGGCAGGTGCAGTGCAGTGCAGGGCTTCACTGACCTCATCTGAAGCCGGGGTGTCTGCTGATAACGACCCAAAGAAATCCGCCTGAAGTAGAGCAGCGATGGCCTGCAGTGGGGGAAGGTGGGAAGCAGTAGAAGCACGCACGCAGCGAGAGCAGAGGGGAGATGAGAGTGGCAGAGCGGGTGCAAGCAAGCATCAACAAGGACCCACACACAAGCATGCATGGCGGCAATGCGTCACAGCGCTTGGCTTCGCTGCACCCTCCCACACGGCAGGTCACACAACCGCAAGCCGCTGGCCATGCTGCTGACATTCAGGTGGCTCCCACTCAACTGCAGCGGTATACCTTGATGTACGGGATTATGACTCGATTCTGCTTGCGGTGCCGCCTCAGCAGCACCACCACGTCCTCTGCTATCCGCCCCTGCACCTCCTCCCACTGCCCACCATCTCCCCCCTCTCCTGTCCCCCTCATAGCCCCCTGTGTCCCCTCAGCTGGTTTGAGAGAGAGCAGGGCGCGCAGGGAGGCGGCAGTGAGGGAGTGGGAGAGAGCGCCCGCGGAGAGAAGCAGCCCTGATAGCAGTGGCAGGCGGTAGGCTGGCAGCAGCAGCAGCGGGGCCAGACGGGGAAAGACAGCCGCAGGATTCTGGCAGGGTGGGGAGGGAAGGGGGTGGCGGGGGAGGGAGGGGAAATGACGGAGGTGAAGGCGAGCGGAGCAGGTGGGTGGGAATGAGAAGGACTGGAACAACAAGGGAGCTGAGAGAGTGGAATAGGGAAGGGCACAGCACAGCACTGCAAAGCAGAGAACAGTGGGAGGCGCACCTTCCATGCGAAGTGAGGGTCGGAGGGCACGTGCTGCCTCAGCTGCTCCCACCCATCCACATCCCTGCACACACCGCTCCCTTCTGCCGTGCCGCCCACGCATTGACTCACTGCGCCTCCTCCATCCGTCTCCTCCCCGCCTCCACCTGATGCCCCCTGCGTGCTGCCACCAGCACCACGTGCCTCAACTGCCTCTGCAGTCCCTGCTTCCCCTCTTGTCTCTTGTGTCCCTGCCATCGCTGCACCGTGCTTGCTCCCCCACAGCAGCCGCTGCAGCCCCTGCCCCGCCACCTTGCGGGTGCCGTCAATCTTCTCCCCCGCCTGCTTCAGCAGCACACCCACCACCCGCCCTGCCACCGCTCTGCACCATTCCCCAACCCCAATGTGCCGCCGCTGAGACGATGGGGCGTCAGGTGCTGCGTCAGTGTTACTTGGTGCATTTCCCACCTCGCCCTCCCACACCTCTCTCAATCTGTACACTTCTTCCACCCACGCCACCAGCGCTTTCATGGAAGCTTCCCTCACGAGGCGGCCCACGTCACCCCGCTGGTCCTCCGTGTAGTCCTGTGCAGCTCGCAGCAACGCCGCCACCACGCCCTCCCCCCCCCCCTCCCACCACCCTCGCCCTACCAACCCACCCTGCCTGCTCACCTCAACCTCCTCCTTCTCGCCCTCCCCTTCCGCTTCTGCCCCATCTCCCCCACCCGTCCCTGTGTGCCCCCTTGCGCCTGCCCCGCCGGCCTGCAGGAGGGGAATGATGCTGGCTGCATTACCCAGCGCTTCCACTGCTGCTGCGCGCACTGCCACGTCAGTCACAGCACGACGCCCCCGCTGCAGGGATGACAGGGAGGATAAGGGGTGGGAGGTTGTTGCAGCGTGGGTGACGGATGGGTGGTTGGAGGAAATGATAAGGGATTGGAGATCCGATCCTAAGGGTGTCTGGACACACGAAATGAAAGGATGAGGCAGCAATGTTAGGGAAGTCAGAGGATAAGAAAGGCAGGATGGAGGGAATGGGGATGGGTGGAGGGGAAGAGGCAGAGAGCACTCACATTGTCGGTGGCAGCAGCACACAGCGCCTTCACCACCCGCTCTGCCAGCTCGCGCCTTGACCTCTCACCCTCATCCACCCCTCCCTCACCCCCTCTCCCCTCCGTCTCCCCATGTCTTTCTCCGTCCTCTAGCCCTGTGTTTGCGCCCCCCACACCTAGCCCCACGTTGTCAGTGCCAGCAGCAGGGGAGTCAAGGGGAGAGGCGGAGGGCCAGGCGGGGCAGAGGCTGGGCAGGAAGCACTGCAGCGCCAGCACAGCGCCTCGCCTCGCACTCGCTGCTGAGCTGGCGGACTCCAGAGTCGCCACGTGGCGCGTTATTATTTGGCGAGCAAAGTCTGTGCAAGCAGGGGAATGCTGGGTGCGAGCGAGGTCCCACAGGGCTGCTGCTGCTGCCTCCTGGATTGACGAGACAAAGCGCGCCCGCGCACACTGGGGAAAAGGGGGAAAAGAGTGGGGAAAAAGATGCGGGGTGGGGGAAGGAGAGGAAAAGGAGGGTGATGAAGCATGAGCATTGAGTTAATGCAGTACGATGTATGCATTGACACGGTGTAATCACCATGCTTAGTGCGTGCTCATTCAACTCCTTCCCTCTCCCCCCTCCCTTCCCCATCCCCTCCCTCACCTGCAGCTCCCCCCCATCCCCTGCCAGCATGTCATGCAGGCAAGCAGTAGCCACAGTGAGAGCAGGTGTGGGCAGGGGCGGCAGTTGTGCGCGGGGCAGTGCAGCAGCGAGCGCGGAGAGCAGGCGGCAGCAGGCCACCTTGAGATCCGCAGCTAGGCGCCCTCGGAAGGAGCGCGGGGCGAGCAGCGTGGGGAGGGAGGCGGTGAGTGAGGAGAGGGTGTCTGAGAGGGCCGGGGAGGGCGGGGAGGCGGAGAGGGGCGGGAGGAGGGCTGCGGTGGCGAGGAGAGCCCCATGGCGGGAGGGGGGGTCGGGGGAGGCGAGCAGGGGGAGGAGGTGTAGGTGCAAGAGGGAGAGGAGGCGGGGCGGGTCAAGAGGGACAATGGCGGCGAGGGATTCAGCTGCGAGGGCGCGGATGGCCTTGTCCCAGTGGTGCGTGCTGGCTGCTAGCTTGAGCAACAGCTGCTCGCGGTACTCCGGATAGCCTGCCACGAATAGTGCCACCTGGAAGCAGGGGGGACAGCAGGAGGAGAGGCAGGAGGAGATATGGGAGGCGAGGAGAAATGATGGTAACGGGGGCACGTGTGTGGTGCATGTGCATGTGCTAAAGGGCAAAGGCAGATGAGGACAAAGAAGGCTTCTCAGACTGACAGATGCGGCTGTGGTGGGCACCTGAGTGAATGCAGTGCGAGTGGATGACAGCGACGTGACATCAGCCGCATTCACTATGGCGATGCCCCCTGCTGGCACCCACTGCTCCTCCTTCTCCGCACCACTCTCCACCGCATCACCTCCTTGGCTAGGTCCTCTGGTGGAGGCATGGGGTGTGCCTCGGGTGGTGGGTGTGGAGAGCGCTTGGGCGTCGGAGATGCAGCCAAAGCGGCCCACCACCTCCTGGAAGGCCGCTGCTGCCGCCCACCTGCACTTCATCTGCCCATGTTGCATGGGACATGGGGTGTGAGGAATGGAGCACACGGCATGGGGCATAGTGCATGGGGCATAGTGCATGGGGCACGGGGCATGTGGCAATGGCATGGGGCATGGGGTATGGCGCATGGCGCATGGGGCATGGTGCATGGGGGATGGGGCATGCGGCATGGGGCATGGTGGTCACAGCAGCCCACCTGGCGGTCACAGCAGGCAACGGCGAGGAGGTGAGGGCATAGCTGCTGCAGGGAGGCAGCAGCAACGGGCGGTGAGAAGGAGTGGGCGATGGCCCAACACACATACGCCGCTGCATCGCGCACATGCGCCCCCGTGCCCACCGCCCCCCGCAACACCTCGTAGTGCAACGCCTGGGGGAGAGGGAAGGGGGGGGAGAGGAGAGAGGAAAGAGAAGAGGGGGAGCAAGCGTGAGGGGTGGGCGATATGACATGGCACTAAAATTTGAAGTGTGAGTGCTGTGTGGTGTAAAAGGGCTTGAGTGCATGAGGGGCAGAGAGGGTATGGACTGCGGATGGCACAATCATGTGGTGGGGTTTGGAGCATAGAGAGAGATCATTTGTGTGTGACGTGAGTGAATGAGTGTTGAGGTCAAGTACGTCTACTGAGCGATTAAGGGCAGTGGGGGACGAGACACACGGAGGCGAGGAGCGGCGTGACGGAGTGCAGGCGCGACGGCAGCAGCAGCCCTCTGGCTGCCAGCTCTGCGAGTGCCAGACACACGCCCTGCCATGCACTGTCCGATGGTAGCTGAGGAGGGCAAGGGGGAAAGAGGGAAAAGTAGACGGAGGGATGGATGGTGGGATGGTGAGGATGAGATTGATGGGAGTCGCAATGTGGCCATTGAGGGCAGAACAGGTCGGAAAAGATCCAAGCTGAAGCGATCGGAGGAGACGAGCAGGGGACGCGAGCACGAACGCATGGGCATTGTGACTTCATCTCCTGCGGTTGCACCTGGAAAATACCCTCACCCCGTGCGGGTGCATTGTAACAACACCCTCACCCCGTGCGGGTGCATTGTAACAACACCCTCACCCCGTGCGGGTGCATTGTAACAACACCCTCACCCCGTGCGGGTGCATTGTAACAGTACCCTCACCTCGTGCGGGTGCATTGTAACAATACCCTCACCTCGTGCGGGTGCATTGTAACAATGCCCTCACCTCGTGCGGGTCCACCAAGGCAATGACGGCCGCCACCACTTCGTCCGCCATGCCAGCTGGCAAGCCACCCACCACCCGCGACAGGCCGCGCGCTGCCGCCCACCGCACATCCGTTGACTGGCAGTTGGGAGGACGGGGACGGGGGGAAGGGTGAGTGGGGAGGTGAGGGCGGAGGCTCAAGTTATCGTAGGAGCACAATTGTATTGATGCGTGCTGCTGCCACACTCACCTGCTGCTATCACTCTCGTACACGCACCTCGTGTTTGAGCATGGGCAGCAGCTCCCCCACCGCCTCCTCCACCAGCTCCGCCACCTCCTCTTCCTCTTCCTCCTCCCCCTCTTCCTCCCCCTCCCCCTCCCCCTCTCTCCGCCCCAGCTCTCTCTCCTCCGCCCCTCCCACTCCTTCCGCACTTGCCGCCACCCCCTGTTCCGCGCCCGGCCCAGCACCTCCTGCTGCTGGCGATGGCAAGGGCGCGGGGGGGGCTGCAGAGGGGGGGGCGTCCACCCGATGGATGCTGCGCTGCGAGGGGCAGAGGGGGGGGTGAGAGGGTGGGGTGGGAAGAAAACGAACACATGAGCTCTGCTTTGGAAAAGAACGAAGGTATGATTGTGCAAGCAAGGGCATGCGGGGTGCTGCTGTTGTACGAGACAGCCAAGTGGTCGTGCTGCCGTAGAAAACAAGCAAAGGCAAGGGCATGTGGAGTTGAGGGCCTGAGCTTCCGTACCTGGTAGCGCCAGGAGGGCGCACTGCCGTACCTGGTAGCGCCAGGAGGGCTGGCGGGGCGGCAGAAGGGAGAGGGCGAGGCGATGGAGCAGCTTCACGAGGGCCAGGGGGAGCAGCAGTGAGACAGGACGCGCGCACATGGGGTGGGGAGAGGAGCCCGCGGAGTGGGGAAGGTTGGAAGGCGAGGTGGAGTGGAGGAGGGGCAGGAGGATGGTGGCCCACACTGGGTGTGTGTGGTGAGTGAGCTCAGCACGTGGGGCTGTCTGCACGCTCACAGGGGGGGCAAGGGGGAAGGGAAGGGGAGAAGGGGAAGGGCAACAGGGCAAGAGACGATGGTGAGTGTAGGTGGACGGGAAGGTGGGTAGCAGGATGGGGGAATGGGGGCTGAGGAAAGCCGTGGGGACAAGTCCATGTGGCGACAGGCAGCAAATGGCAGGCAGCATCAGACAGCGGGCAACAGACAGTAACACAGCAGCGGAGGCACCTTGAAGATGGCGGCGAGGGTGAGGACGACAGGGGCCAGCAGCTCCTCCGACAGTGGTGCCCGCCCCTTCCCCTCCTCCACTGCCACCACTGCTGCTCCCTCTCCCCTGCCTGGCGGGCCGTCCGGAAGAGCGGCTGGCGAGGGCAGGGCGGCAGAGAGCGAGGCCACAAGGCGGCGACTCTCTTCCATGAACCTGGGAGTGAGAGAGCATGCACGTGGGGGAATGTGGCAAGGAAGGTGCAAGGGCGCACATGTGCGGGATAGCACGGGGATGGATCTGGTTGTAGAGGGAGGGGGTGGATGGCGTATGGGGGAGATGGGCGAAAGGCGTGTGGAAGAATGACGAAAGGTGGAGACCGCATGGTATACCAGGAACGTGCATGGCGTAGCAGGCGGGTGCTTGGCCTACCAGGCGAGGGGGGAGTGCATTTCGGGGCGGGAGAGGAGGCGGGCGAGCATGAGGGGGACGGGCAGGCGGCCGTTGGGCAGGAAGGTGAGGCACGCTCGCAGCAGCACGTCGGGCAGTGACCATGCTTCTGACAACCTCCCTTCCCATGCAGCGGTGGGGAGTGGTAGGAGGCGGTGGAGCACATGGGACGCCACGGGTGCTGACACTGCTGCTGCTGGTGGCGGTTGGGAGGAGTGTTCGAGGGAGGAGGGTTGCAGGGAGGCGGGGGGTTGGGGGGCGAAGAGGTTGGAGTCGAGGGAGGGGAGGGAGAAGGGCAGCAGCAGCAGGTGCGAGAGCCACGAGAGCAGCACATAGTGCACGCGCCACTGCTCCACCGCCTCCACCGCCACCCCCACCTCCGACCCCGCCTTCTCCCCCGCGCGCCATTTGCATAGGGAGAAAGGGGAAGAGGGGTTGGAAAGAAGGGGCAGACACAGGGGCGGACGGATGAGCAAATGCAGTGATGTACGGAAGGCGTGAGGGACTGTGAGTGAAGCGTGTGGCGTGTGAATGGTACTCCAACAACTCGCTTATCTCGATTCATCCCTCCTGCCCCACCACCGCATCCCACCATCACCGCATCCCACCACCACCGCATCCCACCATCACCGCATCCCACCACCGCATCCCACCACCACCGCATCCCACCACCGCATCCCACCATCACCGCATCCCACCACCACCGCATCCCACCACTGCATCCCACCATTGCATCCGCGCTCCCCCACCACTGCATCCCTGCAGCGCTACCTTGGGCGGCGCGGGCGAGAGGCGGAGCACGAGCAGCAGCAGCGCGAGCGCGGGTTCGAGGTGGGAGGGCGCGTTGGGGAAGAAGCGACAGACGACCTTGGCGCCGCGCACGTACGCCACCACCTGCACCACGCACGCCGCCCCCGCCACTTCCCGCACCATCCGCTGCGCCTCCGCCTCCCCCATCGCCCGCTCGAGTTCCCCCGACCCCGCGGAGCCTCCCGCAAGCGCGGAGGGCAGCGCGGCCGCGGCAGCGAGCGCGTGCGCGGAGAGGCAGGCCATGGCGGGTGAGAGCAGCGCGGAGAGGTGCGGGTCCAGCAGCTCCGGCTGCTCGCGGTACTTGGCGCACTGCCACGTGGACGGGGGGGTGACGGGGCGGGAAAATTGTGTGACCAGGGGAGGGATGCATAAGCGGGTGGCGCGCATGAAGCTGCGGCCAGCGCAAGGCTGTATTCTCATCCCGATACATGAATCTAGGCGTATGAGGTACGAGCGACGGGTTACGAGCGACGGGCTACGAGCGACGGGCTACGAGCGGCGAGCGCGAGGCGTACGATGGTTTCGAAGCGGAGCAGCACTGCTGCCCGCGGGTCGTCGCGCATCTCCCCGTCTTCCACCGCGCGCCTTCGTTGCGCATCCTCATCCGCCTCTGCGATTCCGAAATTCGACACACCGCATTGCACCGATCCAGACCGATCGGACTGCGCGGAGGGCACGAGTATGGCGACGAGGCGCTGCAGCTCGCTCGCCTCCTCGAGGAACGACAACTCGCAGCTGTCGCCCTCGAATTCGCCCTCGTCGCCAGGCGTCGCATTGCCGTCGTGCGCCATGGCGACTGGCCTCGCGCTGATCTGGACTCTTCTATTTTGAGGCCAACTCCACTGACTTGTGGCAGATCTGCTCTGGTGCCTTCACTTGGCAGATCGTTGCAAATGCGTTTCAAAGTTTGGCGAGGGCGAGAGCATTCGCTGGACATTTTGGCGAGTTACATTATTTCGCCAGAGGTCGTCAAGGAGAGCATTGGTTCATATGAGTTGGCGATAATATGTAGCGAAGCTGTTTTCTTCGAATCCACGTTCAGCAACCCCCAGTTCCCTCAGCTCCAATATTTGAGGCGCGGCGCTGAGCGAAGTGCAGTTCGTTGTGCGAGTGCAAGCATCCACCTCGCAATATCTGCGTTATTATCGACCTTGAGAAACTTACCATCTGCCGTGTCACGCGCGTCGCGCGGCAGCACCACTTGCGGACATGACGGCAACGTGCGCAGTCGGCCGCATTGCGGGATCGTGCCTCGCGATCCACGCCGAGGCGCCCAAAGCCAGCACCAACCAGCCGTTACGAACCTCCCACGTGGCGGCGCGAAACGCGACTTGTCTGACTGGCCTGAGACGGATCGCTTCTCCGAGTAACGGAGCTCTGCGCGCGACGACCGTCCGATCGAGAGCGCGGATAGCGATGGTGAGATGAGGATCTGAGCAGCCTCGGGAGATCACAGCAAATGATTTGATCCGATCGGGAAGTTCTAGTTGCTGAAAGGAAACAAGCGTTTGAGAAGAAAAAGGCGCGTCAACGCGTCGAGCAGTTGCCCTCAAGCAATGCGCTTTCGTTTCATTGCATGACATGTCGTGGAATGACGTGGCGTGTCGCCATGGCCCCGCATGGCATGGCACGGCACGGCTCGGCGTGGTGTGGTATGAACCATGGCAGGCGGCAGCGGGATCGGCGTCAGGCAGTGGCGAGCTGCGGTTCAGCAAGTACCAGGGCATCGGCAACGACTTCATCCTCGTGAGCCGCCTCGCTCCCTCCCTGCCCGCCTGCGTGCCTCCTCACACCCCTCTCGTCGCTGCTCCTGCTATTGCCGCTTCTTCTGCCACGTTCCACTCCTGATTCTGCTGCGGCTGTTGCCATTCGTCCTATGCGCCGTCGCTCACACCGACACAACCCCCTCTGCATGGCTGCCCGGTCCGCCAGGTGGACAACCGGCATTCATCGGAGCCGGTGGTGTCGCAGGAGCAGGCGGCGCGGCTGTGCGACCGCAACTTCGGGGTGGGCGGCGACGGGGTGATCTTCCTGCTGCCGGGGCAGGCGGGCGCCGACTACACCATGCGCATCTTCAACAGCGATGGCAGTGAGCCCGAGGTGTGCAGTGCGGTGCAGCGCGGTGCAATGCAGTGCAGGAAAATCCGAGCCCAATGTGTGCAGTGCAGGGTGGTGTGAGCGCGAGGCGATGACAGGGGGCAAAGTGTGCAAGGGATAGTACATTGATGGTCAAGGCGCGCGGATTCAGCGTGCTGCTTTCTAGCTGCACGCACATTGCTTTCCGGAGAGTGAAACAAGGACTCTGCACGTGCTGTCAGCAGCATCTGCTTGATGCCTGCGTGCCCCCCTGCATCCTCCCCTGCGTGCCCCTCTGCACGCCACGTGGCATGGCAGATGTGTGGCAACGGCATTCGCTGTCTGGCCAAGTTCATTGCTGACGTCACCAACTCACACGACACCCAAACGTATGCCCCTCTCCCTTCCCCTCGCTCTCTCTCACTCGCTCCATACACCTTTCCCGCCTTCGCCTCTTCTCGCCCTCTCAGTTCTCTTTCTCATTCCCTCCACTCCCCACCCTCCCACCCCCCCACCCCGCACACCCCAATCCCTGCACCTCACCCCACAGCATATCGATATCCACACTGGCGGGCGTCATGCAGGCGCACATGCGCGCCGATGGCCAGGTGGGGTGGGGCTGCTTCAACCAAGGGGCTTTGCTGCACCGCTGCTGGCTGCTCTTCTCTCATTCGCCGCACGCCTGTTCGCACTCCTCCAACCTCACTCACGCCTCACTCCCTCCTCCCACCCCCATCCCTTCTCACACATGTCTCCCTCCTCTTCTCTGCCACTCATCCCCCCATCCCCTCCTCCCCCTCTTCCCTTTTTCCCCTCCTCCCACGCGCCCCAGGTGCGGGTGGACATGGGCGAGCCCATCCTGTCCGCGGCGCTCATCCCCACCACGCTGCCTGCCACCACCGCTGACGGCGCCGTGGTGAAAGCGCCGCTGCAGGTGGACGGGGTGACGTGGCAGGTGACCTGTGTCAGCATGGGCAACCCGCACTGCATCACCTTCTCCAACTCACACAGCCCTCAGGTGTGCCCCGCGCTCCCTGCCACTAGCATGTCCTGTTCCGGATTTCTTATTCTCGTGGTGTGCTGACTGACGGTCAGGTCACACAGCCCCCATCCCACCACCTACTGCCACCGGCACTGCCCCTGCGTGTGTGGCATGTGTGCATTCATCGCACCACCCCCAGGGCCTGGACGTGGCAGGCATCGACCTGCACCGCATTGGACCCATGTTTGAGCACCACCCCGCCTTCCCTGCTCGCACCAACACAGGTCAGCTCATTCTCGCTCTTCCTCTTCTTCTCCCTCTTCTTCCTGCTCCCTGCACCTCTCTCGCGCCCCTGTGTGCCCCTGTATGCCCCTGCATCTCTCGCACCTCAATCGTTTCCTTCCTCGTCATGTACTGCCATATGGCATCATATCATTGTGTTTCAATCCCCCATCCCCAGTTCCCCACCCATCCCCCATCCTCTGTTCCCCCCCATCCATCCCCCATCCCCTGCTCCCATCCTCTCTTCCACCAACCCCATGGCCCATGCACGCGCATCAGAGTTTGTGGAGGTGATCTCCCGCAACGAGCTGCACATGCGAGTGTGGGAGCGCGGGGCAGGTGAACCTCTTACCCTCACCCATACTTTTCCTGCCCTCACATCCCTGCACTCCACTGCTGCTGCCGCTGCAACTGCAACTGCCTTGCCGTTACCACCATACTGCTTGCGCTGTCATCCCAGCCTGTGCCACCCTCCCCCGTCATTGTCCTGTGTGTCATTCTCTCCCACCCACCCGCCCTGCCCCCCACAGGTCCCACGCTGGCATGTGGCACGGGCACGTGTGCCCTTGTTGTGGCGGCTGTGCTGGAGGGCCGTGCCGAGCGGGTGAGTCACGGATGAGGGAGGGAGTGTGTGAGGTTGGGTGAGTGACTGAGGGAACTCGGAGAGCGATTGGAGCAGCTTGGGTGGGAAGAGCGAGGCTATGAGGGGTGGAGGGGCACACAGCAAGCTGGTTTCGATTTGTAACACTTCTCTCATGTTTCTCCCTCCACCATGCCTTGCCTCTCATGCCATCTGTCACCTGCGTGCATCCATCCACCCTGTGTCTCTCTCCCTCAACCCCCTTCTCTCGCAGAACTGCCTGGTGCATCTGCCGGGGGGTCCGTTGGAGATAGATTGGAGGGAGGAGGACAACCGCGTGCACATGACCGGCCCCGCTGACCTCGTCTTCTCCGGCACTCTTGCGCTCCGCTGATGCTCCCTGTGCTCATGCTCGCTGCTTTATGCTGGTCAATGCTGCTTGGTAGAGGCTGCTGCAGACTGCAATGCTTTAATTGGCTGGACTAGATTCACTGCAGTGGTGCAACGGTCGTATGAGTTTAGTGCCTGCTGCTCTCTGCTTCGGTATAATGAAATAAATACTTATGGAACTTATGAACAGGGATGAGTGTACACGTCAGTCACAGAGTCAAGTTATTGATATGCCAAGAGCTCGCTCCAGGTAGTCTTGCTGCTGTACTTCACCTTCCAGATGGTTCCACTGCAGCGCACAGCACCGCAGAGAGGCAGGGCAGGGAGCCACTGGAATGTAAAGCTGAGATGTGTAGTGTGGAGAAGTATGGTAGCGGATGAAAAGAGGTGCAGTGGCTGGTTGGTACGAGGAAATGCGGATACAGACCATGAGTTAGTGGGATGGAGGTGCGTACATGGTAGAAGGGGATGGAGATGACGGTCCATCCAGCCGCCTCCAGATGTCGCCTCTTGAGCGCCGTTGCTCCCAGTGGAGTCACTGCCACAGCAGGTGGATGTGGGATTCGTGCGGAGGGCGGAGTAAGGATGACAGGGAAAGGACGGCAGGCAGCGAGCGAAGCGCAACAATGGAAGGTTGAGGGCACGGCAGTGAAAGCGGCATGCGGGGGGATGAAGCAAGGGGAGGAGATGCGGAAGGCAGCGCGCACGAGTGTTACGGGTGAAGTGTGAGGGTCCGTCCACCTCCAGTGCGATGCGGCGCCCTGGCAGAGCAATGTCAATGGAGTAGTGCCACACGCATGACGATGTGTACTCCGATACCCACCCCATGCCCCCCGAGCATCCCTCCCCTCCCTCGCTTCCATCTTCTCCCTCCTTTCCCTCGTCACCCTGCTCTCTCTCCCCTCCTCCCCCTTCCCACTCGTCCCCCCGCCAGGCCACGAGCCCCAGGGCGGAGAGGGCCTGCTCCACCTCCCAGTGGCTGCACGGTTTCACCTTCTCCCTCGCCGCCTCTGCCCGCCACACACGCGCCCCCTCCTCCCACACCCAATCTGCCCCCTCCTCGTCTCTTCCCTCTCCCCTTCCCGCCCCCCCGTCACCCACCTCTTGCCCTCTTCTCACCCCTCCACTCCCCCCACCACACGCCTGCTCGCCCTCCTCCCCCTGCCCCTTTCTTCCCCTTTCCACTGCACCCCCTGCCCCCTCCGCCCTGAGAGTCACCGCCACCTGAAACAGCTGACTCAGATGCCGCTCCCCCACTCTAGCCCTCTGCTCCCCTTCCGACCCCTCCCCCTCCACCTCCCCCTCCTGCTCCTCTCCACAGAACTGCCTTTGGCGGCGGAGCACCTCTCCCCAGAGCGCGTGGAAGAGCGCCCCGTGGGTGTGCTGCAGCACAGCCAGCGCCCACACACTGTTCGCCACGTGCTGGGGCGACCACGCTCGCAGGCACGCCAGCGGGCAGGGCGGGGGGGGAGAGAAGGCGG